GGTTATCAGTTCCTCCCCATTGGTTGCAGAGGACCCTCACATCCAGGCAGCATGCAGCAGGGCTGTCCATGCATAAAGAAGGGCCTGATAGGCCAAAAGGTCCTGATAGGTCATTGCATGAAGCTGTGAAGTTGGTAATGAAGACTCCCAAGAAGGTATTTGTGTTGCCAGAGCTGTGAGTCATCTATCAAGAAGGCCTGCATACAGGGAGTGGTACCAGCCCAAGAGAGAGATGTATGCTACACTCAGCAAAACTGGAGAGTCTGAGCCATCTAAGCTCTTTGGAAGTAAGTCCCAGAAGTCGGAAGTGGAGCACAGTAATTTGGTGTTACTGTGCTGGTTTTCTGTCTTGTTTTGGTCCAGTATTTCCTCCCTATGCCTCTATTCCACACATGTGAAATGGGAATGTGTATTCTGTTCCATGGTATGTTGGGAATATGTAATTTGTCTTTTGATTTTACAGGGACTTACAGTTAAGACGTTTCCCTGAGTCTCAGAAAAGACTTTGGACTGTGGACTTTTGAATAGTATTGATACTGTTAAAGACTATGAGGACATTTAAGGTTGGACAAGATACATTTTGCATTTTATGTGATATGGAGACTATGGGGCACCAGGAGCTGACTGTGGTGATTTGAATGAGAGTGTCCTGCATTAGACTCAAAGTATTTGGACATTTTGTTCCCAATTGTTGGTGCTGTTTTGGAAGGTCTTAGAAGGTGTGACCATGCTGGAGGAAGCATGTCACTGGGGACAGGCTTAGAGAGTCACGCTCTGCTTGAAGATGTAAGCCTCTGCTTTGTGCTCCTGCTCTGGCCACATTCTGCCACCATGCTTTCCTGCCATGATGGACGCTAATTCCCCTGGAACCGTAAGCTGAAATACACTTTTCCTTTGATAAGTTCACTTGGTCATGGTGTTTTATCACAGCAACAGAAAAGTAAATAAGACACCACAGAAACCAGGAAAGTAGAAGTGGATCATGTGGGAGTGGGGGAGAAGGAGCTCCAGAGAAGGGATTTTAGGACACAGGTGGCATCAATTTGAAACGGAAAAAATGGGGGAGGTGGAGAGGTCTTTAACTCGGGAATAGGGATGGAGGGTAATGTAGAAAGAGAGGAAAGAAAGAAATATAAATGACACTGAGAATATCTAATATATCATATCTGTGTATCTGCCTGTCTATCTATCTATCTATCTCTCTATATATCATTATACCATGGCACATGGGGTGATACTACTCCTCTGGGAGCCATGAGGTTGTATAAGAAAATCCCCAGAGCTAGGTATAAGAAATTCCCCTTAAAGTTGTTGGTCAAGGTAGCTTAAGAAACTTCCAAAGTAATATAGGCTATTGCCATTGTCCTTAGCGGTCTACTGGAACTTGAATGGAATGCCTCATTGATGAGGACCACACACTTGAGACACAGGATGTGGAGGAATCTAGCTAGAACTGATCATTTGTGTTGTTCAGTGCTTTGCTCAAGTATCACAAAGTTTGCCGATTATTCTTGCATATAAACTACTCATTCATTACATTTGCATATATTAATTTATTTTTATTATTTTTATTTTATGTGTATGTGTATGTTCCCTGCATATATGTAAATGAACCCCTATCATGCAATGCCTGTCAAAGTCAGAAGATGGCATCAGATTCTCAGTGAACTGGACTTAGGAACAGTTGTTAGTCACAATGTGTGTGCTGGAAATAAAGCCTGGGTCCTCTACAAGAGCAGCCAGTGCTCTTAACTGTTGAGCCATATCTCCAGCTCCTCCCTCATTGAATCATGCATAATAGGATTTAATTATTTGGCATTTATACTGACTCTGAACTACTTATAATTTAAACTCTACTACTTTGAGTCCATTGGTAATGTCTTACTACATAAAGCATCATTTTTCATATTAGTCACTAATGTTAAGTTACTAATTTTAACTAAGAGTGATATTTTTTGGTTTGTTAATATTGCTCTAGCTCAGATCTTCATATTCTGTTAATCTCATAACTTGCTTGAGAACCCAGGAAAGAAGATTTACCAGAACCTCTTAGCATAAAATTAAATTTTATCATGAATTGAACACAAATTTGAAGAAATGTTTCCCTCAACAGTATATAATTATCATGGTATGACCAAAGGAATTTATTTGTTGACGTCAATTGCTTTTGTCAGTATTGTAGCTAGTTCTTTGATTTGTGTGCTGGGGTCAGTAAATAATGTGGTATCAATTCCAAGATTTTAATAATTATGTTTTTTAAAATAGGTGGTTTTTATTATTAATAGGTCAGTACATTTGATTTGTTAGGGTTTCTGCCTCCTGTATTTGTTATGTGCTCGATTTGAAGACAGAGTACTTGACCTGTGTTCTTAATCATCATTCAGCATAAACTTAGAAATGTCAGAGAATTCCAAAGTATCAGAGATATGTTATAAAAAGAGCACTCTTACACTGTGAGTGTGAAGTTGAGAGGGGAATTTTGTTGAAATAAGATGTAGAATTTGGATTTGTCATCATAATCAAACTATTTTTTTTACAAAAAATGGCTATAGCTTCTCTTAATGGTTATCAAATATTTTCATAGAATTTTGTTTTACATTTCATAATTTAATTGCTCATGTGCTTCATGTGCTTCAAGAGCAAATTGAAGGAGGAGCAACTGAAAATGCCTATATTTAATTTCAGTAAATTTTTTTTTGTCTTTTTGAGACAGGGTCCTTCTGTAGCCCCAGTTGTCCTGGAACTCACTATGTAGACCAGGCTGGCCTCGAACTCACAAAGATCCACCTGCCTCTCCCTCCCATTTTTTTTAAAAAGAAAAATCAGAAATGTTTTGTGCATTCACAAATATGAATATAAGTATAAATTTAATGAAAATTATTATTATTCATTTTATATTATAACATTTGGCAGTTGTCTAGTTTCGGATGAAGAAAAATATAGCTATGCATGTGATTGGAGATAATTTTTCTACAAGTAAAATTTAAGGCTTGGTTTCAATATCAGTTTTGATTTTTATACTCTTGAGAGCTACATCATAAAAAGCAACTCTTTGTGTTATAATTATTCAAAAATTGTGTTCCTAACTTTGGTTCATATGACTGTTGATGTTTTCCAAAGATCCTTCCACTCACTCCCTAATCTCACATTCTAAATTGTTAGTTTAGGAACAATACCAACATAGAAATATTTATCTGAGTAAAAAGTTACATAGTTGATGCTCAGTGGAGGAGAGAGAGTTCCACATGGAAATCCACTGCAGTTCACTAATACATGGATAGCATTATACAGGTACTGTGGTCTGGATATCTATCCAACAAATTTCCAGGTTAAAGGTTTGCTGCCCAATCTATGGCTCTATTAAATGATATGGCCTAGTGAAAAATTTTCAGGTTACTGGGAATATATCCTTGAAGGGGAGAAGATGGTGCTCTCTTATCCTTTCTGTATGGCATCATATCCATAAGGCATGGAGTTTTGCTCTGCAACATGCTCTTAGCATAATGTTCTGAACCAGCAATTATAGGTAATATAGCTAGCCCTACATGGCAGGGAATCTCTAAAAACATGAGCCAAAATGAAGATTTTATCTTGATGAATTAGGTCATTTTAGGTATTTGTACTTGAGATTAAAATGGAAAGTTGATGAAAACTTTTAAAACAGAAAACTGTTATTAAATGTGCAGTGGTTTTGCTATTATCCTATATCTTATGATTTGGAAAAGCATTGTTTTACAGTGAAGTTTTCAAATTTTTAAGGACAAAGCTCTAAAAGCATAGATAGCTATTAGCAAATTTTGGTGGGCAATATTGGTAGGGGTCTAGAATACTGTAATGCTAATAGTAATACACACAGTAAAAGCCATGCTGATGTTGTTTCAGATTGACAGGATAACTGTATTAGAAACCAAACTAAAAGCCATGCTTGTTTTGCTATGATAAAGAACTTGGATGCATTTTTTCCTATGACTTGAGTCTCTGTGAGAGGTCAAAGTTAAAGATGGTGGATTAGCACAACTGATGGAGAATATATTAAGCCAGTACAACATTCAAGTTGTAACGTGGTTGATATTGATAACATTTAGTAAAATTTTCAGTCAGACTCAAGAGCAAAACAAAAGGTGAACTTAATGTTTTGGAATATTTAAAGTGTGGTCTATAAAAGAATTTGTAAAACATTATGGCCCAGAAGGCTGTGGTTAGTAAAGATTAGTGCCTATTAAATGGTGTTAGGTGCTTTGCATCAAGGTAATAAGAAGACTCCCTCAAGGTCATCTAAAAATATGCAAGGATACCACACCCATTATAAGCTGAAAGATGCAGAAACACAAATTTGTTTCAAACACTTATATTTGAGAAGACAGTTTCAGTTTCTGTATGTACCTCACACCACCGAGAAATTTGTTTCTTCTTTTCCAGCTGTCAAGATACTCAGAAGCCTCTGCAGCCACTATTCAATTTGGAAAAGCTACTGTTCACACCGGCAGTCAATCCTAGGGTTATCTATGTGGTAAGAGTTTTGCAGGCACTCATAAGAATTATGCATCCATGCTCACAGCAGGGTCTCAGAGAAATGCCTGGCAGGGTAGACCATAGTTTGCAAGATTAGAGGTCCATAAGTTCCCACTGGATGGATGATATATGGAACTGAGTGTCATCCAAAACTCCAATAGAGACCCACAAAATATATAGGGCTAATACTGAGCACTTGTGTAGGAAGCTCCATGAAACATTTAGTACCACTCCAAAAGAATGGCCTTGTGGGCACTATCATTGCAGAGGAATAACAGCAAAGACCTTGTTTGAACCAACATCAGTGTGGTTTCCAGTAATTTACTAGAACTGGACAAAGCATAGAATATAAAAATATCTTAGGTGGACTCTAGGGCAGTATTATGACTTGCCTTACTAGTCTCTGATGGACACATGGCCATATACAGAGACATGTATATTCCTTGGGGCAGAATAGATACGCATTCATTGTTTATTTAGCATATTTTTTTCCATTGGAAGTGTTTCTAGATGAACATTTTTGAAAATGATAGATATTCAGATTTCAGAGTCCTTTGCTCATGATATTTTTCTGACTCCATCCAGGAAGCAGAATCAGTATGTACACATAGCCAGGAATAGGCAATCTGTAATAAAGTTATTGAGAACAAGAATAGCGGCCAATTTAAACAGGTAAAATGAAATAATATGTACATTCATATAATAGGCAATAGAAGCACATAAAGCTATGCAAATACCTCTATATTTCATAGATTTGAGTTGGAATGGTTCTACTATGTATTTTAATGACTGCAGTTGGAATTTTGAAAATAAAAACTCAGTGATAATTGACAAAGTCAAAATGCTTTTATTTATGCTGAAGTTTAGCAAGTACATTTTAACAAAAGATGTACTTTAACTTAACATGGTAGAACTGAGAAACCATACATATGTTTCTAGACTCTAACATACTACCGTAACTTTTCCTTGAAAGACAAAAAGCCAAGCAGAAATGAACATAAAAAAGCATCAAATATAGTCAAGTTACTTTAGCCATAGGATGTAGCTCACATTCTTAATTTGGCCAATCTAATGCAAGGACAAAATTTACATCATTGCTTTTAAAATATACACATGTTCCTTTTTTCTTAATGTAACACAGAAAAGCTGCTTCAGTTAACAAAACTTTGCGGATACACACAATTGAAATAACTCCATGTTGGATAGTTTCAGAGATACACTGGAATCACAAGCATCTTCATTTATGTAAAGCCAGCGAGGACCTTTCAGGCTGAATACAACTGTTGTGCCATTGCTAAACAGTAATAGTTACCTCCTTTAAAAAAAAGAAAACAAGTTAGTTCTTTTGTGGAATATTGATAAAACATATGTAAATGTACTAAAACTTCTATCTTCAGGAACCTATAATGAGGTGATGTTACAAAAGATATTGGCAAACTTTATTTTAATGTCTATATGCTAATTTGTTAATTTTCAAAGATCATTCAAGTAAATACAATGCTACAGTTTCTCTTCTTTCTATAGCATTGGAAACATGAGAGATTAATAATGACTCTTTTCTTAAACTATGTTATTATTTCTATAGAGAGCTATATTTTTCCCTTTGTTAGTAATGAACAAATGAAGTCCCTTTGCTGTACCAAAATGGGCAGAAATATATTACCTGGATTGGATCTAAGATGAAAGCTTTATATATTTAGAATTTTCTCTCCACAAGTAAACCCCAAGACTGTGCACACTAGGTAGAGACTAATTTTGAACATCATTTGAACCATAGCAAGCATCAAAACAGATATTCATTTAAATGTTTCTTATACAGAACCCATATCATCATGTAATTAAGTGAAATTTGATTGATATAGGTAATTATTATAACTGACAATTTTCAATGAAATTCTTTTCTGCTTCTTTTGGCATAAATTGTTCTTTTCCATAACAATAATGTATGACCTTCTAGCTAAATCACAAAGTTAGCCTTTGGTTACAGAAGGGGAAACAGGAAAGAATGTGCCCATAAATCAACCCAAATCCATTACCTGTCCTTATGAAACACTTAAAACTACATGTTTCTAAATCAAATGTGTCCCCTTCGCATAGAAAGGAAGAGTACATTATCATGCTTGAATGATATGCCTTGTTATAAATATTAACTCACCCTGGCCAAAGCTTAAAATCCTAATGAGAAAAGTATATGATATCTTTAAAATATTTATTCTTTCTATGTGGATTTCATGGTAGGTACATTAGAGGAATTCTCTGAGAAACACCTCAGAATAAGACGTCAAGGTATTACAAGGTAATGGAGGAATAAAAGTGTTAGATGCTGTGTCAATCAGACAAGCTAGAGTTGAGTTTCATTAGAGAAGTAGAAATTTGTCCAAGAAATCCATGGAATTCATCCAAATGCTCCATGGAGAAAAAATAGACTGTGCTTTAAAATAAAAAAAAAACAGTTTGATAATCTTTCACTCCAGAAAGTTGTTCTGATTCTTTTTTTTTTTTTTTTTTTTGGATAAAGTCTGAGCAGTCTAATGAAGTCCAACCCTCAGGTAGTCTGATTTACTATGATCAATTAGATCAGTTAATTGCTGAGTTCTCCAGTCCACCTCATCTTCTTTATGCACAGCCCAATTGTCAATGGAAAGTTCATTAACATCAAATGGCAGTCACTTTACCAGGATTGAAATTTACACAATTACAGTAAGACTTGAGTCATGCAGTACAAATTGTGAACATTACAGATTTGAAAGCAATGGTTAAATAATTCATTTCCTCTTAAAAGGTACATAAGCACAGCAGTTAGTGAAAATGACAATCCCCATTCATCCTTTAGAAAAACACATTTTTTGAAAAATCTCCTTTATTATGTTTAATTCTTGTCTTTATTACAAGACACGGACATATTTGTCCATAACCTTCATTAGATGCGCCATCTTACTAGGCCCATCAGCATCAGTCTCCACTGCAGTTTGCAAATCAAAAGAAAAACTAGGCTATGGAGAAGACAATACTATTACATAAATAAATTATATTTCGTTTTACATGAAATACAGTAAATGGAAATTTCTTATTACTGAAACTTTTTTTTTTTAAATTAAAGGGCCATCCAAAAAGACTATCAGGTAACATGCTGAGTAATGTTGACACACCTTCTGTTAATGCTTTACATTTGCCAGTACAGACTGCTCTTAAGGAAGGTAGAGTATTGATCTGGTAAATGATACCGATCCTTGGAGTAATCCCAAAGTTTGCCACATTTCTATTTCAGAACACATTTCAGCTATAATATGAGTGATTTATCATTTAGTAGTAGCTGTCAAAGTAAACTCCTAGATAAAACACAAACATCTGGAACCATAAACAGAGGAGAGCAGTAGCAGAATTTTAATCTAAACCTAGCATGCTTGCTTCATTAGGAACAGGAGCAGCTAATTAGTAATTGAATTCTTCATGTTTTTAAGAGGGTTTATACTTGAGCTCCAAACAAAAAAGCTCTCATATGCATTTGGATGTGAATAAGATTAAAGATCTGGAAAAGCAAAGAAAAATCTCCTCCAGAGAAATGTTAGGAACTCAGGAATTTATAAGGAGGGACATATATACTAACATGTGGAGAGAGATGGTAGTTTGTTTACTGCTTTAATATTTATCAGATTAGTAAAATGGAAATTTTGATATATACATATATGACCACATTCTAAATAAAAATGTAGGTTTCTGCATTCCTTCATATCCCATGACATAGGACGCTTGTGTGGCCTTCTTCATATAGAACACTCTGATATGTACCACTTAAGTAATCCTTCAAGGGCTACATCTGACTGTCCCAAATCCCAGTATGACACTTTCCTCCGATATTGTGCATCTAAAGTTTATGAAAAGGAGTTACTAAAATCAAGAGTCAAAGAGAAGGCTAATAAGTGGGGAAAGCCAGAAGAAAACAAGAGAATTCCTTACAGTTCTTTTAAAGTAATTAAAAAGACACTAAAGTGTTTTTAAGTGACATAACTTGAAAATGTGATTTATTTTTCCCTATCTTTCAGTGTATTCCCTTTGACTGCTTGATGATGAAACAATTTTGGATGGTTTGCTGTTAGTCATACCTCATTGTCACTTAATTTATAGATGCATATAATGTTAGCAAAATATTTAATTTGGTTAATTGTAATTCTTCAGAACTGATTTCTAATCTGTGATTACTTTGTTTCAGTGGGCTAAAGCATCACTCTGATTATACACACAAATAGCTCTTGTATATAACACAGAAAATACTAAAATCAAATTCCTTATAATTTAGAAAAATTCTTCAGGAAATGAAACATTTAATACATCACATTGATGTGAATTAATGTAATGTTTCTAAAGTGTGTAGTTTCAGTGGTCATGCTGATAGAAATTACATGTATGACCACAGGAGCTGGCTATTGGCAAATGCATAAAATCTCAGTTGATATTTTGCAAGAGTGGGGCTTTTGTCACAACAAAACTTAGTTTTAGGGCAGATAAAACACAGTTAATTAGGTGTTGCTGATGTGACTAGGGAACTTTAGAAGTATCATTAAATGTTTTTCATCAGCCAAATACTGATCTATCATATCGTTAAGAAGTATGAAAATGATAATAGTTATCTATCTCCACTCTCTGGACAGGTCTTCAGTAAGTAAAGAATTAAAAATATTTTAGGGAACTTCCTGAGCAACTCAAACCAAATTTAGCATCTGTTAATCTTTTGTACATGTTATCTGACTATGCGTAGACCAGAAGATGAATGGTGGAAATATTCATAATGTGAATGATCCATAGTATGTGCATTTCTTTTTTCTTGTTTCTATAGCTGTTTTGCTGCTTCTTTTACTAGCATAATAAAGAAAATACAAGGTTTGGGATGGGAAGAGAGAGAGAAGAAAAGGACGGAGGAGGCATTTTTAGCAGGATCAGTGTCAGTGCTTGTTTTAGTCATTACCTTCTTTACCGATAGGTAATGTGCAAGTAGAGAGGAAGTGAAAAACTTGCTCCACCATCATCTGTTCAAATGAAAATATAGGTGTCGTAAAATCTAGAAATTAGAGCTCTCTATAGTTTTTGGAGAATTCAACAGGCAAACTTTATTCTACAAAAGTGAGCTCACAGACTGTAAGAAATATCAGTCATATGTACCAATAAACTGTCTGCTAATATAATTCCTGTTAAATATCATATTGGACAAATATAAAGCTAATTCATAATAACCACAGCTCAAAGTAGGTGTGTGTGCGTGTGTGTGTGTGCGTGCGTGCGTGTGTGTGCAGGCGCACGCGCATTTTAGTTTCTCTCACATCATCTAGAAATAGCATTTTATCCATCTTAAAAATATTTTCACCTACTTACCCCACTAGGAACCTGCTTTGTGGATCAATGTGATAGAGTTTGGGAAGTACTATGCTCTCCTGGCATGGAGGGTTAAGAAAATTGTAAAATAAGATGTTCTTTCATCATTATGATTACCACCTAAAAACTTGGGAAGCCATTTTATAGAACATTTTCCTATATGTGCAAAGTTCTATTTATCAATCATGAACAAATAGTATTTGAAGGCTCCATATTTTAAAAGAATTTGAGTATGAATTCTAAAGAGTCACAGTACTAGGTAAGCAGGTAACTGCTACAGCACCCTATCCGTGCCTATGATCAGTTGGAGTTCCGGCATCTGCGTTCAGGCTGCACAGAAAAAACAATAAGACCTGGTCAAAACGTCATTCCAACAAAGAAAATCCAAAATCTACCACAAACTCACTTTATATTATCTCCTGTGCTATATATATAT